GCACACCTATGAGGGTGGAGACCATCGCTATTAGGGTGGAGGCCATCATCATTACTTCTAGGTTCTAGGTTGGAGGCCATCCCTATTAGGTTGGAGGACATCACCAGTAGGTTGGAGGCCATTGATTGCTTCTAGGTTGGAGGCCATCGCTATTAGGTTGGAGGGCATCGCTATTAGGTTGGAGGCCATCACTATTAGGTTGGAGGCCATCACTCGTAGGTTGGAGGCCAATGATTGCTTCCAGGTTGGAGGCCATCGCTATCAGGTTGGAGGGAATCGCTATTAGGTTGGAGGCCATCACTAGTAGGTTGGAGGCCATTGCTATTAGGTTGGAGGCAATCGCTATTAGGTTGGAGGGCACCGCTATTTGTTTGGAGGCCAACGCTATTAGGTTGCAGGCCATTGGTATAATTTTGGAGGCCATCGCTATTAGGGTGGAGGGCAGCACTATTTGGTTGGAGGCCATTGATTGCTTCTAGGTTGGATGCCATCGCTGTTAGGTTGGAGGGCATCGCTATTAGGTTGGAGGCCATCACTAGTAGGTTGGAGGCCATCGCTATTAGGTTGGAGGACATCACCAGTAGGTTGGAGGCCATTGATTGCTTCTAGGTTGGAGCCCATCGCTAGTAGGTTGGAGGGCATCGCTATTAGGTTGGAGGCCATCACTATTAGGTTGGAGGCCATCGCTAGTAGGTTGGAGGCCAATGATTGCTTCCAGGTTGGAGGCCATCGCTATCAGGTTGGAGGGAATCGCTAGCAGGTTGGAGGCCATCACTAGTAGGTTGGAGACCATTTCTATTAGGTTGGAGGCCATTGATTGCTTCGAGGTTGGAGGCCATCGCTAGTAGGTTGGAGGCCATTGATTGCTTCTAGGTTGGAGCCCATCGCTAGTAGGTTGGAGGGCGTCGCTAGTAGGTTGGAGCCCATCGCTATTTAGGTTGGAGGCCATTGATTGCTTCTAGGTTGGAGGCCATCGCTAGTAGGTTGGAGGGCATCCCTAGTAGGTTGGAGGGCATTGATTGCTTCTAGGTTGGAGCCCATCGCTAGTAGGTTGGAGGGCATCGCTGGTAGATTGACGCCATCGCTAGTAGGTTGGAGGGCATTGATTGCTTCTAGGTTGGAGGCCATCGCTAGTAGGTTGGAGGGCATCCCTAGTAGGTTGGAGGGCATCGCTGCTAGAGGCCATCGCTAGTAGGTTGGAGGGCATTGATTGCTTCTAGGTTGGAGCCCATCGCTAGTAGGTTGGAGCCCATCGCTAGTAGGTTGGAGGGCATTGATTGCTTCTAGGTTGGAGCCCATCG